TATATGCGTGCAGATTTTGGAGGCTACGAAAGCCATGAATTGTATAAGAGTTTACGAGTAATTTCGAATATAAAATGTGCGTATTTGGTGTTACAATTCACAAAGCGATTGATGTTGTTTGGTGTTATAGTATACAAAAAAAATTCAAAGAGATAGCATTTACTTATCCTGACGTATTCAATAAATTGCTTTATTTAGATGAGTGGTTGTCATTTTTTTATGAATTGATAAATCACTTGAAACACCCAGAAAAAACGCGTAGAATTATATTTATACCGTATAACCAGACAAAGAATTTTCATTCCCATTACTCATGCGAGAATTCTTGCAAGTCTCCATTTCTCCACAAGAAACAAAAGATTTTAAATTGCGCCGCAAACTCGAGATCCGGTTCCATAAAAAAATAATTTTCAATGTCACCCGGACTTCGACGCTAGAATATAAATGCATTATTTCAGGCAAATTCTGGAAATATCTCCCTGCCAGAATATTGTTCTGTTGCCGTGACGAAATCTTTGATGAAATACGAACCTCGAAGGAGAATTATATGAAAACAACTTTGATTGGCAGTTGAATTCGTTTAAACAACGTTTAATCAACGTTATGTCAAATTTGGGCGCCTGATGGGTTTTATGTTAAGTGTGTAAATCTAAGTGCCTGCGAAAGTTTGCACTGAGATGCATGCAGTATTTCTACAAATGCTCGTAAAAGCTCAAATGTTATTTTTATTAAAGAGTAAAGTTGCTTTTCCTGGAAAAGATTTCACGAGCCTTGCTATTTCTGGAATAATGTCCTGAGTTGTTACCGGAACAGCTGTTCATCTCACAGGTGGGAAATAGTTCAGTACGAGGAACTCGATCCTGCCACGCCCCTGTCTGTCCTCAGCACCGAGGTCACTACAGTAGCTCCAGCCTGATTTTTTCCATTTTCTTCTGAAGTTTCAAGCAATTGACGATGCTAAGAGTTGGGTATTTTGTATCTAATAAAAAGTATCTATAATCCACGTGTATTTTAGTTTAAATTGCTGTTACTTCATTGAATTAAAGTTTACGATAACGACAGTTCGCTTCCATGCACGCCGCGAGGTCACCTCTCGCGTGTTCCACAGTCACCGGAAATGCCAGTAGAGCCCACGTAGAGGGAACGTCTTCGGGCATCAAACTCCCGGAAAAAACATATTGAAATCATTCCATCACTATTATGATCGCACTACACTGATACCGCCATCATTTTGTTCCCAGATGCGCATTATCGTTAGTAGGGAACGCATTGTCATCAATAATTTCCCATTTAGTTTAAAGCGCCAAGCTTCGACAACAGTTGTTATCACCTCTCCGAAATTCAGATCCGTCCCGTACCAAACAACTACGTACATCCCTGGCATAGTTCACATTTATTGATAACAGCAATGCTTTAGAGTTTAGACGTTCTAATTAAAATCTGTTCGATATTCAATGTCTTAGTTCACTCCAGAGTAGAGAGCCAGACGACTAATTAAAAATAATTTACAATATAAATTATATATGATATAAATATATAGTTCTTTATATGATATACTGTGTTTATGATCTAATTATGATATAATTATATTCGGTTATAACAGATTTCACTAGCAGCCACGATTCTCGAAAGACTTTTTGTTCCTTGCAAATGAGTTCTGTTGTTGATAAACAGTTGAGTTGAAAAAAATTTATGCTTGGTCGGATCTTATCATGAACTGGATGCTTGGTCTGCTCTTATCATCAACTGGATGCTTGGTCTGTTTTTATCATCAACTGGATGCTTGGTCTGATCTTATCATCAACTGGATGCTTGGTCTGTTTTTATCATCAATTGTATGCTTGATCTGCTCTTATCATCAACTGGATGCTTGGTCTGTTTTTATCATCAACTGGATGCTTGGTCTGTTCTTATCATCAACTGGATACTTGGTCTGATCTTATCATCAACTGGATGATTGGTCTGATCTTATCATCAACTGGATGCTTGTCCATCAATTGGATGCTTGGTCTGTTCTTATCATTAAAAATTAAACAGCCTTACGCGAATTGATATATTTTCTTATATCCTAATTCCAATCTACAACGTCAATATATTCGATTTACTGCAGAAACCGTGATGAACATCCAGTTTTCAGTGATAAACAACCAGTTTTAACGCTCTAGTCTTGCTCAATTACTTTCTTCAAAATAAATAATTTCGATTGGGTTCATGGGCTCTGAAAGTTGCAAAAGAACGTTTTGAACTTTAAATTCTATGAATGAGAAAAATACCTTAGCAAGAACCTGTTAATCGGAAATATTGTACTAGAAAATTCAGTTCACTACGTTGAATTTTATGTATAAAGAAATATATAAGAGAGTACCTTTAATATTTAAGAAAGAAGCTTTCACAATGTTTATGGGATCACTGCCTCATTCAGCATTAATTTAATTCGTTTTAAAAATACTTTTATCGTCGTGCTTCATTATTTATTCAGTTTTTTATAGCAGATAATAGATTTGAATGACTCCTCGAGCTCGGCATTAATTACGCACGCCAAATTTTTCTGTCACAAACAGCAGAACGATTCTTCGAGCCCACGCCTCTTCTTCCTGTCTCAATGAAGCATTTGTTTCTTTATCAAGAAAATCTCCGATTGACCCAGAGACTTTTTTCTCCCATTGTATTAGTGAAGTCTTGTCGAAGATCGAAGAAATCAATCGAAATCGAAGAAATTCCCACACGATCTTCTAAAATTGTTTTAATGAAGTTATTTACGCGAACTCGAACAACTTTTCACGCGATCTTCTTAAATTGTTTCAATTAAGTTATATACGCGAACTCGAACAAATTCCCACGCGATGTTCTTAAATTGTTTTAATGAAGCTATATACATGAACTCGAACAAATTTTCACGCGAACTTCTTAAATTGTTTCATTGAAGTTATATACGCGAACTCGAAAAGCTTTTCACGCGATCTTCTTAAATTGTTTTAATGAAGTCTCACACACAAGCCTGGACAACTTCTGACACAATCTCAGAGTAGCGCACTGCATCTCAGCTCACTACTCGGTGAATGGCACTCACTTTACGTATGAATATTCAGCGGCTTGTTCAGTTACCTTGATCTTGACCTTAAAAACGTAATGGATCTTTGAGGAATCACAAGCACCTCGGAAGCCTTCACATTGTAAATTACGTATAGCAATTTGTAGAATTAATGTATTTTAGTTTATAATTTTACACAGAAAATAAGAGATTTGAGATGATTTTTGTCTACAGAAGCCCTTCATTAAATTATTAAGATAACTGCAGTCTACATTCAAGAAACTTTAAAACCATCTTCTGTTACCCCCACTCAGTTCTGTCACGTTCTCGAATCCAGAAGATCATGGTAAGCGAGGTAAACATTGACAACATTTATGAGTTATTGTAAGAGAGTCTAAATTATGTTTTATTTACCTCTTTTAAACAATTATAAATTATAATGAACCAGGAATCATTTGTGCGCGGCCCCAGAGCGTGAAAGGCTGCTCATGTGACTCGAGTTAACGAAGCAACAGCCATGCTTTAGAGTTTAGACGTTCTAATTAACATCCATTGGACATTCAGTGCCTTTGTTCAGTCCAGAGTATGTATAGCTATAGTAAAATCGCTCAGATTCCAACATTAAAAATAAATCATAACTTAAAATCTTCAACGCTTGGCCTCCTTTTAAACTCGAAAGCAAGTTTAATTTTCTCAGTTTCCTGTGCGGGTCAGCTTGCGCTGCCTCATGGACATTATTATGTTCTTTTTACTTGCATTTTATGCACCGCGCAGTCTTAGGCTTCCTTTGTCTGCCGCTTGCCGATGCCTGGAGTTAATTTCTTCCTGCTTTTCACAGGACAGTTGAGGGCAGGTGAGGCGAGGTCATGGTTGAACTTGTATAAGGTTGACCCATCAGAAGCCCATTTTTGCGGATGTACGTAGTTTGTTGTTCGCATGTGACGTCACTGATCTCAGTGACGTCACGGGCCTTAACCAACCACCTAAATGCGATCAAACCAGTCAGCCAATCAGGCATGGGAAGACGGGTTTGTTTACGTTTCTTGATCTACGTGACGTAACAAGAAAGCTGAACTGAAAGGCGGAACTTCTCGTGGGTCAACCTTATATAGTTCAACCATGAGGCGAGGTCACCTCTGCTCACGCCAGCCGTGTGACGCAATCCGCAGTCTGGAGGAGCTACTAACACGGCGACGAAAAATTCGAACAAATCTGTTCTGACATGAGTGTTTTTATTTGTAGGCGTTATAAGCATGCTGTTATATGTTATAAGGGTGAAAAATATTTGCTCATTAGTAGGTTTAGATTTTCTTGCTAGTGCGTTCAGCAGTGGGCAGCTCTACAGTCGATGATACGTAAATCGCCATCCAGCCGCTACTGCACTTTACTCGCGCTTCACAAAAACTCTATAATACCGACCAGAACTCCGGCTTGTAGGGTTAGAGAACCACATAATAACTATATAGCTTCTTCGATTGTGCTGGAAAGTTGAGGATCAGTCTTGCTAATAAGATAAATCGTTTCTTCTGCATGCCGGTGACAAGCGTAGCCGTACTTTGAATTCTTGTCACTGTAGAATGACTTCAGGTTTCACCAGATTCTCAAGCATCAATGGTGTCTTAACTTCCGTAATAAACGAAATAAACTTTTTGATTTAAACAAACTTTTCGCAATTCCGCGGCTGATGGCTTCATTGGTACCATGAAATATGACAATGAGTCGGCATACTGAAGTGAATCCAGCATCATACACTCGAACTGCAATAGCGATTTAAGCGAACTCAATCACTGTCAGGGCCATAAAAACAATATTGAACAATTATTAATGCATGTCAAAGTTTAATCACGAGAATAAAATCTTTATAACACTTAAACTGGCGAATTATATTTGTACTTTATTCGGCTAGATAATACCAATCAAAGAAATTAAACAAATTCATTATTAACTGAAGGGACAATGACAGTCGAGAAGATATATATACTTTAATTTCATGTAGGCATATGACGACACTAAAACGTTCTGCATGGAAATGTTATGTTAGCTATGATTTCATACTTAAGCTAATAAACGGTATTTACATGCTACTTTGATACAGTTTCTTCATTATGTTACAGAGGTATGCGTGTACAGGTAACAATATCAACTGACGAAAGCCACTCAAGATGTCACAACGAATACCTCAAGTGGGTTGGCACTCTTCCACCAACACACCCACGCACGAGGATCAAAATACTTCCCCGTGTTCAAATTTAACTACAAATTTTTTTTCTGTTTTGAAGTTAAAGTAGTAAACAATGTAATCACTAGCACAGTGTGATAAAAAAGAACATTGATCTTTCCCTTAATATCCCTCATTGGCAAGCCGGTGTTGACAATCTGTGACATGGACATTAGAATACATCAGTATAGGATATTCGTACGGGAGCGACAACATAAAGCAGAGAGCAAGTCGATGACGTTCCTTCATTAAATAGCTTACCTAATCACGCGGGCTTGAGAAATATCAAATGATGTACAGTTAAAAGAACCATAGGTATGCATTGCCCTCACGTACAAATTGGAAATGGAATATCGACATGAAAGTAGCACGTAAACGACCATTCGGAATACAGAAAAAAGTGGTTGCATCCAATCAATTGGAATGTTGAATTGAAAACTAAGCACGCTTAGATATTGCCCTCTTGTTAGAAGAGCTTCGAGACATGCAAGACAGTTTCGGTTCTACTTTTTATAACATCTACGTTAGCAAAACGTTTTCTATTAGAAATCTAAGATTTATGAAATAGATAAGGCTTAAATTGGATCGCGCAGTATCTACTATGCACACAGCGGCAACACTCGTGTATTACGATAATAATTTGATATTACAAGAAAAGGCTGTTAAGTTGAATTGAGCAAATACAATGAAATTCAGTCCATGTCCTAATCAAAGAAAGATATAAAATCATCAAAACGCTGAGGCATCGCGAACACTCGCACCAGCACTATAGTGGCCGACGTAATCTTGCAAAAAAACATTTGGCAATTTAATAGGGAAACTTCAAACCACAGTTTTTTCAGAATAATATTACTCTATGAATTCTATCAAAGTCGTACAAGTTGTTAAATGAACGTTAAACAGTAGCTACGTTGAAATTGTTTGACGTGTCAATTATTCTTCTAAATCTGTTCATAGGTCTCACTAAGTACGATAATAAATACGGTGATTTCCCTACGCGGGATAAAATCTGAACCCGAAACTGTAACTATCCATCACGTGCAGCAAACTAAGCTGGGTTTCTTTCCATCACGTGCGGCAAACTAAGCTGGGTTTCTTTCCATCACGTGCGGCAAACTACACGTACACGGATTATAGAGTAGACACACATGGCCAAAGGAAGATAAGGAAATTATGCAAGTGAGAAGCATTGAATTGGAAAGAAGGTTCATCATTTACGACGCATTTTAATCAGGAAGACTACGCTCGACAGAGAAGGAAGATACTACACAAAGTGGCCATCACGAAGCAAATATGCTATTGTACAAACAAGAGAAAATATACAGAAGGGTCTGCATCATTTCTATACCCAAGAGAACATAGCTAGTCGCACCAGCCTAAAAAGGGGATTGCCGCATAGCGTCAAAATGGCAGTTTTAACATTTACGTTAAAACTAAATATTAACGCTAACGGAAAACTCACAGACGAAGTTGATAAATTTTTCAAAGTCAAATCATCTTTATTAAATATCTTTCAATCTCATATCACACGAATTTGTGACTCCAGCAACACACACAATGTCTTCAAATGAGGACACTAAATAAAAAATTTAAAATCCTTACGACGACGATTTTTAAAGTTCAGCAGCTGTACGTATTTGATCAGGCAAGCTTTAAAAACGGTGGATTTTTTTTAGAAGTGCATACCCATCCAAACCATAAGCTTGAACTAGTAAATATAGGACGCGTGATAGAGGCAAATGAGAAAAATTTGCATTTACTCGATCAAATGTGGCCTATAAATTTCATACACCACAAACGAAATTCTCGCCACACAACTAAATTCTCGACGAAGTGCAAGAGCCATGAAAGTAAACAGCTGCCAAATACCTCGTCCACCCGAGCAATTGAAGCGACTTAAAACCTAAGAGAATGATGTTATAAATTACTTTACAACGGATATCACTTGTATACATTCATAGGCTGCAGGATGATCATGGTTCCATTAAAAAAAACTAAAGAGCTGCTCAGCTAGTAAGATACCACTGATCAATCAGTAGCATCAAATCCGTAAGAAATAGTAAATCTGGATCAAATCTGTACATAATAAAATGCCTAAAAGCATAACAAGGAAAGCGATGAGACTAAAATGTGACGAGACATAGAGTGTTGAATAGGAGCTACGATGCCCACTAAATATACATGTAATTAAAGAAAAGCAATGGAGCAAACATACAAACTAAAAAACCAGGTCGAAGGCTAGGCGGTGCGTGACCGACATTTCTGGAACAGCCTTCACAACAATGGCAGCTTAATGTTTCGCTGTGAGTAAAGAGAGCAAGGCAACCCACAGGTGATCTGCAGGCACACATAGGCTGCTGATGCCCATGCCGGGAAAATTAGCGTTGGGTGCGGACAATCTGTAGAATATTTGCTGTGAATAAAAAAACGGAGGTAATCTGCTCAAAAAAGTAGAGAGCGCACAACCGCGACAACCAAAGCTCCCACCCTCGCACACTGCACGACACGACGGCCTACACAATCAGGACGCACGTAAAGGAAGTTGATTAAACTAGAGATAATTTTTTCAATACGAATAAAAAATACGCAATATCGGTGCAGAAAAAAATTATCACGAGATGTTCTAAGTAGAGATTACTCTTTGGAAAAATACTTAGGCATATACCGATCTTATTTTTTCATCATAGGTGAATAAATTTGCCTATTTCCGGGATTCAATTAGAGGGTCACCGCTATCATAAAAACATTGAATAGCTTTCTCGACAAGAAATTGAATAGGTTAGGAGTGGCTTGTTCTTATATACAATACAACATTCATGGCATACATCGGGAGTGCAGACTCAAAGTAACTATAACGAGTGTCAGGTGATCTTGAATATATATAACCAATCTCTTCACAACAAAAATGATCCAGGCATTGGCAAAGGACCTTTAAGTATTGGGCACAAAAGATGCATTCCGAAAGTATATTGTACCAGGAATTACCGCACAATTGTAGCCGGTGAGTGGCTGGGTAACATTTGGTCTAACATTTGACACACAGTATAGACTCTCAGCAACTAACGCGAACGTTTCAGTGAAACTGAGTCAAAAAGATCTATAAAACATGAGTTTCTTTTTTACACTACAGTTATTATGCAAACATTCTCGCACATATAGAGTAGCTCCCTTAAAATAAGAGATACTGTCATAATTACTGCCTAGAATACGTGGAAGAGCCCACGCAGTAACAAGTCAGGGCGACTCTGTATCTCTAATACGGCACATCGGAACTACAGCAACTGCACAGCAAGGGAACGATTCCAGAACCAACTACGGTACATACACTTAATTCGGCAACGCTTACTCACCTATTGTCAGTACATAATTTCACTTCAAAAGAGGATATGAAGACATTCTTCAAACAGAATACGATATACAAATATTCCTGGATTCGTTAGAGGCCTTCTGGAGAGAAATACTTACATGTAGAAGAGCTTACATCATTATCAAAGAATCGTTCACAGATTCTTAAAACTATGAGACTTGGAAACAATCAGTCATTTTCGCCGCTCAAACACCATTCATGGAGAAAAAAAGTAGGTGTACAGGTTCCTTTCTATTAACAAAATTATCAAGGTGTCAAAAGTTCGGAAATATGTTTTTGATAACTAAACGTCGTTCATAAAATTGGAGATACACTTATTACTTGGAAACGCAATTAATAATTGCGAGGTTCTAGCATGAGAGCTATACGCAACATAACCTATTAATCATTAACACCAGCCCATTATCACGTCATCCTCTACACCAAAGTTATTAATTTATACAAGACTAGTTAAACTTCATTACAGGTAAAAACACATTGGCCGCCACAGAACAAACAACGTTTTTTCCGTGCAAGACTAAAATCGAATCAAGTTCTTCAGGTGAAGTTAAAAAAATAAGATTCATACTAAGTTCTTGACCAAATGCTTGAGAATAAAGGATCTGAACGGATAATTTTTTGCTACATTCTACACACTATAAAAGCCTGTTACCTCCAAAACAAGAGACTTGGATGTCCAAAGTAGGAAGGTATCACTGCAAATAATGTCCAAATTGCATGGACCTATACATATCAATTGCATGGGCCTAATACATGGTAAATGAGGTACATAAACTTGAAAAGTGGTCATGTAACATTCAAGCTATGAATTCGAAAATCTTGTGACTGCACAGCAATCACATGATAGACTAAGGAAACAATGAATAGCTCCTAAGGAAGTTCTATTTAAAATATTAGGTGCACGCCAAGTCGCTATCAGATATAAAAGCACATTTGCATCACACATATTTGTTGTAACCCCGTATCGCTCAATCAGGACAAGAGTTCAAAGATTGACCGCAACAGCCACTACCATGAAATACAACAGCAAACACCCTTCTGAGAAATTCCTGTGTTTTGGTAGAGGCTCCAAACGTGTTTAGGAAACAGACAAAGCGGCGGTCTGGCCAGTCAAAAATGAGGGGGTGGGCAGTGCAGAAGCAAGAGTGTACCAATATTGGTCTCATAATAGCGGCTGTACACAAGAGAAGTCTTAAAGTTAACATAAGAAGCGCATTAAGATAAGAGTGAGATTCATTGGAAGAAACCAACAGCAGAAGCGCAATGTAATAATGACAGTCAGACGCTGAGTAAGACGACATTAAGACTTACAAGTAAACCAAGAGCGACTAGAAACATCCGCACTCATTGACGGAATTGTGCTGGGCACAGCAGACATAGTGGGTGAATTCGGTACCACGCAGAACTGCAGGAATGCCATCAGTGATGCATAATCAATAGAGGCACTGCATGTACAATATTCCAGTAGCGCGCCCATCACCACACACTGCAGATCAAGCTGAGCGTGGCAGGAGTTACAGTTAGGGTCAGTAAACACATTAAATAATGCACATACAACTGAGGCCCTGCAAACGTGTCATCATTGCTGGATGTATACGCAAGTTGACATGTGCCATCATCGCTGGGCTGGAACACCAGGCGATGCAGATTTAGCAGCAACTTTAGTAGGCGGCGGTCTTGAGGCATCCTGACTCTTTGACAAACTTGGCTTCTGAGGATCACTCCCGAGAACGACATTAGCTGAAATTTTCATTGGAGTTGGCACACTTGAGTTCACATTCAAAGATGTAACGTTGATACGATCATCATGATCTGTAGCAGCAGTAAGACACCGTTTGTGTTTGGGACAATGCGAGTGGAATATTTCGTGCTCGACACTCCACTTTGCTCGCAGCGCACACGGGTAATGGACCATGCTCCGGCATCCGTTTTTCAGGCACCCAATGCTGGCGCCTGACTCCCCGCACTCACCACACACCTGCACACAAATCAAAGTGATCATTTTTGACATTGGTAATTCATTGCTTCTACAATTATTTTTTCTAACGAGCAAAGAACGTTCAATAATTATTGCTGAAAAATGAATACAATTGCTTATCTAATTGATTCATTTAAGATTAAAATTTTTGCACAGTTTCAATTCATTAATTAGGCACTGCAGTTTCAGATTTTCAAAGGCCATTCTATAAGAAATACATTCTAAAAACTAATGAATTTTGATAACAAAACTCAGAGTATACGGTGCTTTCAGAGCGAATGAATTTATCGGATACATTTAAATTTAAACACTCAAGTGAATAAATTACATCAGAACATGACTCAAGTGCGCGGACCGACGAAGAGACTACGATACCTGGCATAGTGGCAAACGGGAGATTTCTTTAGGAGATTATTATAATGCTAGGCATGATAAGCATGGACATGATAAGCATGGGCATGATATGCATACTCCTAATACGATAGACACTTAGCATGGTAGGCTTAGACTAACCCACTGCTGGGCATCCCTGACGGCCTCCTCCAGGCCGTGCAGTCTGCTGTTGACAACTCGCACCCCTGGCAGCCACACCAGGCACGCTTCATGCAACCAGCACTCGGTGCCTGAGGTCTCCACAGGAGAGCCAGTGACACCAGTAACACCAGTGACACCAGTAACGTTGTTGCCGGGGGTCACGTTGACACGGGCCCCGGGCCCCACCACGACGCCTTCAGGAGGAATAGTTGTCGCCGCCCCGCCATCGCAAGAGCGGTCAGGAGTAGCACGTCTCTGTAGCAACATTTGCATTGCTCAACTTTCCATCCCATTCTTATATTATAACAATTGTATTACAACTAAACTTGGCCTGTTCGCGGGCCTGCACTCATTTAGACTCGGCATTGTTTTTGAACAATAGTTATTATAAACAAAGATATATAATTCTTAAATGAAAAAAAACGTACATTAAATAAAGCATATAGTTTTCCGAAATGAAGCTATTATGTGATGTGATATAAATAATATGAAAACGGAGATAGAAAGTCTACTCAAGCAGTACGGTAACGTTTAAGCATATGCGGCAATGGACATGAATCTGGAACAGAGATGCTTCACTGAAAAGAGAAAGGCAACTGCCTCTTACATGAAAAAATGCAACCCTTCGCAAGAGTTGGGGCTAAAAAGTAAAACCAGTTATATTAAAATCAATAAATTCAAAGTTATCAATTACATTGTTAAAGTAGAAATGTGGTGCACACGAATTTTAAAAGTTGGTACAATTTGGATGAAAGTGGTTCAGAGAAAAGCAGAGGTTCATGGATAGAAAGAGGTTTACGGAAAAAAATTAGTAGGAGGTCATGTGAGTCAGTTGGCTGTGAGCAAGCATGGCGACTGAAGAAAATTTACTCGAACTGACTGGACTCATCTATACCTACATGTCTCACACTCATTCGCTGGATTGGCGAGTAAACCCTTCACACAACACGACTTTCACAAATATATATCAGTTATGAATTGGCGCTTCTTCTGCTGTGATGAAAGTGGTAAGGGTGATGAGGTGCTAAACACTTACTCAAATAGAGGAGAAACACAAACATAAACTCGGATCAAAAGGGCACAAGAACAGTAAATTGTACACACAATTTTTCAGGCTATTAACATGCATCAACAAAATACATTAGGGTAATTATCAAACGCTAAGATACTACTGCAATCGAGATCTACAATTGAAATCGGTGACAAAAAATGTTTTCACATTTGTCGAACGATTTCTTATGTCAGTCATGACAATCACAATGTCACCAAAAATTGAAATAGAGTTTCAAAATAATTATTAAAATTATATAACAAGCTGGGATACACCCGACATTTGCCCGCTTTGTACCAGCAAAATGATAAGTCATGAAAAATATACACAATATCTGAAACTTCATTGAAACGCGCGGCCCTGATCACTAGAATCGCCATCAGCATACTAAGGGAAACAGCCTATGGTTTCCCTCCACATGATCTGTGTCGTGGCAATGACGCTACAAAAAAAGCGCCGAGATGACGAAAAGAATCTCACTTGAACTCTGGAAACGAAGTAATTTGGAATTGGAAACGAAGTTCTTGTGAAAGAAGAGAACAAATAATATGACATACAAGGATAACGAAGAACAGGTACAGGCACGGTAGGCAGCTTTTAAACTTGTATACGAGCCATAGAATACAATATAGCAAGAGTATATAGGAGAGAACGGGCACTAGAGATGTGGCAAGAGTGCTGAGAGAACGAGTATATACTAGAAATGTGACAGTGCAGAGAGAACGAGCACCAGAACCAAGATGAAGTACGTGTGTACAAAGCACAGACACAAGAAATATGTAGAAAAAGCACAGAGAAGACACAAGAAATGCCTAGAAAAAGCACAGAGAAGGTGTAGAAGGCAAGCACAAGAGGATGTGGACTCACAAGCATCCTGGCAGGCGTGGCTGCGGGCACGAAGCGCCAGGGAGGCGACGCAGACCCTGACGCTGAGGCAGGGTCCGGCGCCGCGTCCTATTGAGGCGTGCATCATTTGCTCAGACTACCGAGTTACTTCTATTGTGGCATGTCTAGCTTAATTACGGCGTCTGGTACATTCATGTCATATGTAGTGCATTTTTTTATCGTATCTTCTGACACATTAATGTCATGTGTAGTGCAATTTTTATCGTAATGTCTGACACATTATTGTCATGTGCAGAACATTTTTTATCCTAACGTCTGGCACATTAATGTCATGAGTAGTATATTTTTTATCGTAACGTCTGGCGCATTAATGTCATGTATAGTGCATTTTTTATAATATCGTCTGCTACATTGATGTCATGTGTAATGCATTTTTTATCGTAACGTCTGCCGTCTGGTACATTGATTTCATGTCTGGAAAGTCTGTGGAATGTCTATTGCATCTTAATTATGGCGTCAGGTGTCATAATGTCATGTCTAGTGCGCTGCATCTTTCATATCGTGCATTTTAATAGGGTCGTCTATTGCATTAAAATTACATCTACGGTAAACTTTTTAATGTCGCTGATTCGAGCGTCTAGATCTATTTGTCAACAGTCTGTATTACCCAAACTAACCAACACCGAGCCTCTATTTGACAAGTATAGCCAAATAAGTGGCAATATATCGTTCATCACATCACTTGAAGTTAGACGAATAATTTTCGATACATATGCTTTATTAGCGCGATTACGAATTCAGTAGAGGGACAAGACATTGAGCCTCGCTACGTATTGTTAGTTAAAAACGGGCATGTTAGTCAAGAAATATATATACTTGTATTAGTAGCTTGATAGGTTCAAGATGAACATGTCTTCTTTCAACAATAAATAACCAAAAGATCGTTTACTTTATAATTACCTCACATCATCACCAAACACTAGTCGATAATCGCTCCTAATATGCAAGAACAGAGGTGGGGTTAGTGGTAAACTACTTCAAAACCTTGAACATAAACCAATCACTACAAATCTTCAGTAATACAACTCCCTCAAAAACTGTGTTCAAAATCATTAGCAAGTTTACCAATAAAACATAACCACAGACAAAAATATCAATCAAATTGCTGAGAAGAACCGAAAAAAAGATCCAAAGGAAATACGTCAAGCACAAGCCGTTGAGTCGAAAGAAAGAGTCGCACACCGTGAAGTATTTATAACTCTTTAGATGTAAATATTACAAATGTTACTATTCTTTCCGATTATAGCCCTTTTTGTGTCCAAAAAATCTGTCATTAAAATCACACAATGTTCTAAAAAATGTGAAGTAACAAAACTGGTGCCTTTCAAAATTTCAAAATCCTAAATACGCCACCAAACTTCATTCAGCGAAAGCTTTAAATCGTTACACTGTTTAAGGTACCGTTAAGTGTGGAAATGGAGACCGAAAATTTCAATATCAAACGTCTGGTACATTGATTTCATGTCTGGAAAGTCTGTGGAATGTCTATTGCATCTTAATTATGGCGTCAGGTGTCATAATGTCATGTCTAGTGCGCTGCATCTTTCATATCGTGCATTTTAATAGGGTCGTCTATTGCATTAAAATTACATCTACGGTAAACTTTTTAATGTCGCTGATTCGAGCGTCTAGATCTATTTGTCAACAGTCTGTATTACCCAAACTAACCAACACCGAGCCTCTATTCGACAAGTATAGCCAAATAAGTGGCAATATATCGTTCATCACATCACTTGAAGTTAGACGAATAATTTTCGATACATATGCTTTATTAGCGCGATTACGAATTCAGTAGAGGGACAAGACATTGAGCCTCGCTACGTATTGTTAGTTAAAAACGGGCATGTTAGTCAAGAAATAAATATACTTGTATTAGTAGCTTGATAGGTTCAAGATGAACATGTCTTCTTTCAACAATAAATAACCAAAAGATCGTTTACTTTATAATTACCTCACATCATCACCAAACACTAGTCGATAATCGCTCCTAATATGCAAGAACAGAGGTGGGGTTAGTGGTAAACTACTTCAAAACCTTGAACATAAACCAATCACTACAAATCTTCAGTAATACAACTCCCTCAAAAACTGTTTTTAATAATTAGTAAATTCACCAATAAAACAGAACCACAGACAAAAATATCAATCAAATTGCTGAGAAGAACCGAAAAAAACTCCAAAGGAAATACGTCAAGCACAAGCCGTTGAGTCGAAAGAAAGAGTCGCACACCGTGAAGTATTTATAACTCTTTAGATGTAAATATTACAAATGTTACTATTCTTTCCGATTATAGCCCTTTTTGTGTCCAAAAAATCTGTCATTAAAATCACACAATGTTCTAAAAAATGTGAAGTAACAAAACTGGTGCCTTTCAAAATTTCAAAATCCTAAATACGCCACCAAACTTCATTCAGCGAAAGCTTTAAATCGTTACACTGTTTAAGGTACCGTTAAGTGTGGAAATGGAGACCGAAAATTTCAATATCAATGTTATCTGAAAACATTAAACCACTCTTCATATAAGACCCTGAAAAATTATCAATGTAAATTTAGTATTGAATTCCTAGTAATTTAGTTCATCAGCAGCACTAGGCATGTTGCAATGTACACGATGTTATGCTCAAGACGCAAAATAGTTGTTTCAGCTACCCACTAATTTGGGACCAGAGTGGCGGGTGGTACTCACCTTCCTGCCATCTGAAGAAGAGGATTCATGCCGTGGAGTGCGCCTCCACTTGTTGCGACCAGGCACCGGCGAAGCTCCAAGGTGATCAGCCCCATCGCGTAGATTCTTAAGCTGAACCTGTCCATCGGAGATGAGCGGGAAGTGCTTCTTGTTGAGAACGATGTCCGGGATGTAAACAGGACCGAAGAGATCACCTAAGAAGTGGCTGTGGCTGAACTGTTTGCACAGCGCACAAAACCACGTGATGTCTTTACTGAACGCATCGTAGTTATTGTGAAGGGTGCTACTGAAACCCACTCTGCAGTTTCGAGACTTGACTTCCCCTTGCATGAAGAAATGCACACCAGACGCGCGTTCTACAAGAGGCGCACGGTCCAGAGATTCAGGCTCGTTCACTATTTGTTCTTCAACTCGATCTTCATCCAGTAATATGTACGGACTAATGAAATTACACTGCAGTGGTTCCTCCGAACGCCTAACTTCAAGAGTTTTCTTTGACTTCCCGTCAGAACCTTCAGTCCTGCATTTTGACTTCTTGCCTTTGCTTCTGCGATTTTTTGCTTTGGTCGAGGATTTTCCAGAAACCCGTTTCCTCGACGTCGACCGTGAAGACTGCGGGTCCTGGTGATGGTCTCGCTTTGCTTCCTCGATACCCGACTCCAAATCACTGGGACTTGACTCGCCACCAGCGCCACTTGCGTCGTTACTAAGGTTATCATCGCTGTCAGGCGTTTCCTTAGGTACGTAATCTTCATCTTCACTCTCTTCGTCGTCCATGTTGAGAAGCATCAATACCTCATTAATGTGCTCTTCACTTTGCGGAGGCTTCGCTGTTCGTTTAGGCCGAGATTCCCGGTAATTAGATGGAGTAATTGACGAATGAGTTTTCAAACTTACGTCACTACTTGTACTGGCAGTAGGTTCTTCGGGGGCATTTTTGAGTGAGGACTCTTTATGTATAGAAACCTCTTCGATACTACCCTCAGTAACAGCAGGCGAAGATCCAGCCGTAGATTTGAGAAACTTAGCTATGTTTTCCACTGTCTCAGAGTCCGTGTCATTCGCAGAAGATCCATTTCCACGGTCTGAGAGGGTAAGGAGAGGACTGCTGACAACACGGGTGGTTTTAGAGAGCGCCTCAGATACGGTAGTACTTGTACAAGTCGATGAAGTAGCACTGCACACTGTCACGGGAACGACATTCTTCTCGTCTTCAACCGTACAAAGAGGTTTTGTTTCTTCCAAGTTAGAGAGAGGTCCAGTCAAATCGGACTTGTTGTCGGCACTTTCACCCGACTCTGGATATTCATTCGGTGGATGAGTAGAGCTAGTTTCCTTGCAGGAAGGCTTGTTCTTTTCTTGGCGGCTAGAACGCGAATTTCTACTCCCGTTTGCAGGCATTTCTTTAGCAGCGCCACCGCGAGAAGCCGCAGTTCTTCCGTAAATTTTACCTTCATCAGAATGTCTGAAGGACCTCAGCCCTGAGACTTGGCGTTCGCTCACCACGGTGATGTGGTCCAGGTTATCTTGTTCCCGCAATCTTAGAGGACACGGCAATCTACTAACGCTGCTGGAGTTTGGTGAATTATTTACAGCTATGGGAACAGTATCTAGAATTTTATCATTAACAGGTGATATATCAAGGGGAGACGCTAAAGAACATTGAGGCTCAGGATGTACTTCCACCTGCACCACCACGTCAGGCTCCGACTTTTGGCTAGAACGTCTTGAAGTGCGTCGGCCTCTTGATGTTAAAGAAATCGGACAGTCCGATTTTGTTGATGATGGAGCTTGCCTGCCCTCGCTAAAAGAGCTAAGCTCATCACTGTAAGATGTATTTTTTATTGGAGTAGTAGAGGGCGAATTCAATTTAGCACTGGAACGCCGTGTCCCACTCATAACCGCTTCTGCGATAGACATTACGTACACATTTTTGGAAGAGCAGTCATCTGATGCCGTGTTTCCTTTCGCGCTGTTGACAGCCGCAACATTTTCATTGCTATTAGCCGCACAAGCAGCTGGCTTTGCATTCTCAAGACTTTGTTCATCTTCAGTGGAGTTCCTGCTAGTTTTGTCATGGGACTGGCACGTCTTTTTTGCAGGCTGTGTCGAAGGAGAAGAACCATCTCTTTTACGGCTGCCGCGACCTTTGCTCTGAATACAGCGCCCTCGGCCCCTAGGAGACACAGCATCTGATTGGTCAGTTGACGCATCAGATTCAACATCAGGAATCTTGGAGGAGGTCGTTTCCACCGCGCTACTACCAGCTGCCATGGCTATAGAAATGACGGTCGTGTTGGGGCTGACGCATGAAGAAGTAGTTTTTAAGGGAGTCGCAATCTGGCAAGAACTCGGATTACAGTTGGATGTAATTTGTTTTGAAGGGTGGTTGGGAGTATTTGAATATAAACTAGAGACTCCTACTGTCGTTGTTGATGATATGACATCAGAAGTCATGGCTCCAGAGCAAATAGACGTGTTAACGAAAGAAAGAGGATTAGGTAATAAAGATGCATTTGTGCCAATAGGGCTAGTAAGCGTGTTATTCGCGCGTGTGCAAGAGACATTAGTGATATTCAAGCGACTGCTCGAGTTGTCCAGCGATGCGATATTTTCATTAAGAGATAGCAAAACTTTCTCGATAGCGGACTTTTCAGAAGTTCCCCTGACAGCCGAATGCATCATGAGAGCTTCCCTGTTGCGGCCCATGCGTGGAATGTATGCAATGCTCGGAGTCTCGTCGTCCCGGTCTTTCTGAGCGGAGACATTACTCGGCAACTTCAGGTCCAAGTCGTCGCATTTGTCACCAGGAGAGAACCCGTCACCCGAGCTATCACAATCCTTGCCATCAAACTGAGAGTTGATAAGACACTGGCTTATGTCCCCCATGGCTTGGAAAGGAGGAGAGCCTTCATTTGAGGTATCATCCTTACCATCATATTTTTCCAATAATACTGATGGATCTTTGACTGTTAGAAACGGGAAACTTGGCCTTTGAGGCTCGACAGCGGATGTGTTTGCACATACAGTGGTGCTAGCAGTCTCAGATGATGCACTTATACTGCTCGGTTTAGGAGAAGGAATTCTCGGTTCTGCATTTGCCGATGCAGCGCCAGTTCCTGAGTCAAATTCCTTGTCAGAAGATGTCGGGCTGGTAAATTCCTTGTCAGAACTCGCAGCAGATTCAGTTTTTTTGCTTCCACTACCACGTTTACGTCCTCTCTTAGCTCCCCTGCTTTTCCCCATGCCACTGACGTCCGAATCTTGAAAATCATAGACGTCATCAGTACCACTGGCGTTTCTAGAGAAATCTGATGGCGAAGATAATGGCACTCTAGCGTCCGCGTTAGGGTCTTCACTTCTTTCTCTGTTCATCTGAGGGTTGACGATGCCAATTAATTTGGTGGGCGGGCGTCCTCTGCCTCTACCCCTGCCGCGAACGCCTTTCAGTCTCCCCACAGGCGACATTAGAGGCGTGGCAGAGGCGCTGCTGCTTTCCCTGTCGCTCTCACATCCAGGACTGAGAGCATCTTTAGCAGAGAGCGAGTCTGTGACAGTTGACGATGGGGACAAGGCATCCATGAGACCATCACCAACGTCTCCATCATGAGGTCTTCTTTCCTTGCTCTTGCGACCCCTCCTTCGGGTTGGAGAGAAGCTTGGCGGTGGGGAAAGCGCGTGGTCCTCATTCATTTCTAGCACAGGATCTGTCCCGTCTTCAACATAGGATACAGCACGACGCTGCCGAGTTCGCCGTTTTGTATCAGAGCCTTCAGGAGACCCAAGGTCTGAGTCAACCATAGCCGCAGACGAAAGCTGGGATAAAGATTCAAATTCATGCTTTCTTTTTCGCCCTTTTTTTGGTGGCAGAGTACTGCGATCCCCGTTCAGCGCAGACTCTATATCAACCTTACACGCACTTTTTGCCTCAGCTTGTTGCACAGTTGCTGCGTCAGAAGAGACCCTAAGTCCATTAATGGCCCAATTGATTTCATTTGATTTGTCCATAGGCAAGTTGCTCAAGACAGTGGGACCTTGTGCCTGCTTCTTCTCTTGCTCATAAGTATTGAAGCCTTTTACATTATTATTGTTATTTGCATTTAGAGATTCATGATTATTTGCATTATGAGTATAATTGGCTTTAAAAGGCTTTCCATCCCGGTTGGGATGAATTGATGTTGATAGGGACTGGTCAATATTAACATTTGCAGATTCGGCCAAAGTTTGTTTAGTTTCGGTAGATACTTTATCCAAACTAGGGGATACTTGGGTAGGGAACGACGACTTTCTTGACAAATTCTTAGTTTGTTGATCCAGCTGAACGTCACTACGCGGGCGGTCAATATCAAGTTGAGTTGCTTCTTCTTCCTCAGGAGGGTCAGATGAGTCTAAGGCTGCCAAATTTATTGTCTTGAGAGGACTTAAGCTCTTCTTTTGGGCAGGAGTGAGAGTTGTGCAAAAAGGCGCCATTCCATTACGGCTGCCACCACTCTCATTAGCGTCAATGTATTTCGGCTGTCCATCATCTCCATAATAAACAGAATTATAATAACAAGCTTTAAAATTATGCATGTGATGAGATGCTAGGAGGCTATCATCCGTTATATCAAAGTCTGAACTAGGGCCAGATCCAACGTCTTCTGGTACTTCCCTAGCAGTAGCAGTAGCCTGGGGCAACGGGCCGTTATATGACGACCGAGACGAGGCAAGACTCATACAGACAGGTGACGATGACGGAGGCAGCGGACTATGGACACGAGACAACTCCATACGAGCCAGATCAGAGTTCCGTGAAGGATCTGATGCCAACGAAAGGTCTGAATGACGGGAGCTCTCTGAAGGTGGTCGCGGCGATGCAACTTGAGACATGGATTCGCTTTCTCCCAAAGACGTCTGAGTTGTCTCGCTCTCAAAACAAGCACGTGGCGGAGCTTCATTGCGCGTTATTGTTTCAAGATTTTCCATCTCAAAATTGTCTTTATTACCACTTTGCATCTGCGGGCTGCTGTGACGTTTGTGAGGACTGTGAGTTATGCCCTGCTGAGAATTTCTGTGCTCCTTGTGCGGAATGCTGGTTGAAATAGATAAGTGAGGACTTTTATGAGAAGTTTGTTCGTGAGAACTGTTATGAGGGTTGTGGCTGTCATAAGGGTTCTGCATATAATGACTGTCATGGGAAGTCTGCAAGTGAGGGCTGTTGTGAGACACCTGCATCTGAGGACTGTTGTGAGACACCTGCATCTGAGGACTGTTGTGAGACACCTGCATCTGAGGACTGTTGTGAGACACCTGCACCTGAGGACTGTTGCGAGAACCATGTATAAGAGGATTATGAGGAGACGACATTGTGTGAGGAATATTATGAGATGTCTGCATATGAAAACTGTTGTGTGACGTCTGCTTGTGAGGACTGTTGTGTGACGTCTGCTTGTGAGGACTGTTGTGAGGGATCTGCTTATGAGGACTGTTGTGAGAGATCTGCATGTGAGGGCTATTGCGCGAGCCCTGCGTGTGAACTGCATCATGATGGCTTGAATACGAGTTTGGTGTGTGAGGGGATGCCCTCAAAGATTGCATTTGAGGGCTCTGAGCATGTGGATGCATGCGAGGACTGCTCTGTGGTACTTCCACCCCACCAGAAGCTTCCCGTGAGGCATCCAACGAAGTGTTGCTCCTTTGAGTAGCGGCAAGAGGACTAGTGCGATGTCCCTGACCGCCGTGCATGAGAGGACTGTTACGAGGACTCTGGTGTAAATGGCTGTTATTTAGAGACACTGATCCATGCAATGCATCTTTTGGGGAAGGAGTAAGCCGGCTCAGAGAGGATGGTACACGAGGCGTAGAAGAACGACTAAGAGAACCGTTAACGAGATGTTGACGATCATCCCCGCCATCACTGTGACGTGTTTGGGGTGATGAGGCGGCCGTCATATGAGGAGGAAGAGGAGAGTCAGACTTGGCGGGAGGTGTGGTAGGAGGAGCATTGAGATGAGCAGCAAGAAAAGGATGAGCGAGGGCATGGCTCATGGCCTGGCTGATGGGCATGTCATGGTGAGGCATTGGTGGCTGAGAAGAAGGTGGAGGGGAACAGTAACTCTCACCGCTATCGTCTGAAGGAAGGGGCGGCGATACAGCAGGCACCCCCGAATTATAAATTACTGACTGACGCCGAGGCTGGTCTTGCTTGCGCCGGTGTCGAGCTCGCTCAGCTGCCTCAGCACACTCACTGCTTGTCATTTGAGGAGGACTTGGAGAAGGAAGACAAGCACGTGCAGCAGACAAAGGCAGGTGAGGGGACCTGGACACTGAAACAGTATTTGCTCCTCCATTAACAACAGGCACGGCCGTTGTGGCAGACCCAGCGGGAGATGAAGCGGCGACTGCAGCAGCAGCCAGGATGGCTGCCGCTTGTTGTTGCTGCTGAGGTGAGAACCGAGAAGTTGAGATGGGGGAGATGGACGAGGGAGGCACGGGGGAGTGAGTGGGGGGTATAGGGTTGTGTCTGTGAGTTGGAGAGGGAGAATGAGGCGGTAGTCCAACACTGAGAGCCGCCATGTACTGGTCGTACTGGTGAGCCAAGAGGCTGCGGTAAACATCACCTCCAAGCTGGTGCGACGACAGAGATGGTGGAAGTGGAAGAGTGGCTTTTGTCTCTCCTTTGCTTGGCACACGACGACCTGAGCTACCGGGCATCAGGCCTCCAGCAACACCTCCTTCAGATCCATCATAGTTACCCCCATGATAGCCATCTCCTGCACGGCAATACAATTATTGTGTTTCATGACAAAAACAAGGTACCAAATAAGATATAAAAAAGCTAGATCAGCTGTAAAAATTAAACAGAAAATTACATAGGCACAATAATTTATACTTTCTAATTTATAACAAGTGCAGAACCTTAAAATTTATGCTAAATTATTTGCATAACATTTATGATATGCACCTTTATGATGTGCCCACTGTTGACCCCAGCTAGACGCAGCTACAGCACTCGAGCTGTTGTAAGCAGCAGCTGCCGCAGCTGCAGCTGCATGCTGTTGGTGTTGCTGCTGCTGGTAGTTATTGTAATGCATGGCACGGTTCAGTTCCCCCCAGATGGCAGACGGGTTGCCCCCTGATGCCATGGCTGCAGCAGCTGCTGCTGTTGAAGGAGACAAAGCTGGCACTCCAGTGCTGCTGTCGCCACCTCGAGACTGGTCACCTCCACCTGCAGCAAATTATGCAATCTTCTTAACAACATTTTTAATAACAAAAAGATTTTTACTCTGAAAATAATCAAAATTATGCTTTATGTGTATTTTATGATTACGGTATATTTGTTATTGAATAGAGTTGTGAAGCAACAAAACTAAAGCTAGAATGTCAGGACAATTTCTAAGTATATAGTACGGTACGCCATTAAGCTGATAACTTGGAAACATTAGTTTTGGAAAATAAAATCATTTCATCATCAGTTGCTATCTTTTATTTCACACATAAAATGCCAGAAGAAATGTACTGAGAAGGATAATGTAAAGATAAATAAGAAAAAGATAAATTTAAATGAAAGGAATGTCTTTTTAAATAACAGATATATATTCTAAATGAGTTTATGTCTTTTCAAACAAGTGGAATGTCCTCTAAAAATTAGGATATTTTTTCAAATCAGAATAATTTCTTTTCAACTCAAAGAATTGTGTTTTTAAATGAGAGGAATGCTAATTTCAATGAGTAAAATGTCTTCTTAAAGAAATGTATTCCTAAATGAGCCAAAAGTCTTTGCCTGAGCAAAATGTTATTGGGAATATGATGAATGTTCTTTAAAATGTGGTGAATGGCTCTTTTTGGATGTGAGAAATATTTACAGCTATTTATAAGCAAATTATTATTGACCAGAATTAGCACTTTGGAATGATTGGTTTAGCCTCAACTAAGAAGGTGGCATTATAAGTCTACCATATATCTATGCATTCCTATATTTGAAATGCAAGGTCAAAAATGGTGCACAGGCCTTTGCTTGAGAGACATATAAATTTTTTTATTAAAGAATATTGCTAATAGTATGATTAAAACGTTATGATTAATATAGCTAAATTTGAAAATTATTACCTTGGAATGGGTTCAAAGCAGCAGGGAACTGGGCCAAATTTCTGTGTCTGTCACCCATCTTGGACCCTGAAAATATAGAAGACACTTTAGAATAATATAGTTAATTATGAAGCAATTTTCATGATCAATCTATCAATCCAGTAACCTAGTTGACAGCATTTATAAATCAAATTAAATAAACATATTTGACACCATTTATATATCAAATTAAATCACATGGCTCTCTTCAGATATATCAGATGGTTTTGAAGTAGGCCTTAGATGCATCTAATTTTTTCCAAATCTAGAATTTGTTACAAGGATTTACCTAATATTTTTCAATCCTGAAAGTAATGAAAAATGATTTAATTTTATTTTAGCACAAAAATTCTGAAAAAATTTATTGAATTATTGCCTTTATGACCATAATTACTCTAAGGAAAATATTATTAGATAATCTGCTTTTCATTGTCAGATTGTAAGGAATGCATGAAGATCATTCACCACAAAAGTCAAAAAAATAAATATTCCCAAGACATAATAATAATTAAAATAAAATCTGAAGGCAGTTTGAAAAAGTTCCCAGCATCAGTAGAGACAATGAAATAATTTTAAATATGAAAAGTGATGGTCTACATCTAATGGCTGTGTTAAAATTTAACCATCAAATTGACATATGGTGATAATAGAGCCATAAAAATCAGCATTTTGAAATCTCTTCAACACTATAAAGGCTCAAAAATAAAGTTGAATGCCTTGTTGACACAATTTTATAAAGATAAGACAAACTGTAGTTTCATTGCAAGAAATAGTAAAAAATTTTTTGGGCAGGGAAATTTTTGGTGACAGCATGAATTGCACAATTATGAATATTTGTGTAACTACATATTTTTGTGCTGCAGAATTTATGAAAGACCTTTATTACATAACTTTGGATCTGAATGATATTTAATGGATAAAAGAAAAAGGAAAATTCTATCTTTGCCCTAGATCTGGATTTACACTTGATATATGGTAGCCAATGGCAAATGATCAACACAAATTCAATGCATGTTAGGATTTTAGGTGATGGATACTATAAGAAACATGTGGCAGATACCCATCCATACATAGTTATAGATTGATCAATTGTTCCTGACCTGAGCTGCAACTAAACAGCCAAGTTCAGATAGATGCATAGTTTATTATAGGTTCCGTCAAAAGGGGTAATAAGAGCATTTATTGTTGATAACTTCTTACAATCAAACATTTCATAAACAAATTATGGCTTATTTTAAATGCTTTTGCAAGGACTATTGTATGGCATATTCAAAAAAAATTTCATGTGCTATTTGTAAGGTAAAAGATGAAAAATAAAAGTGTCCCTAATTACCCCTGGGAATAGGGTAATTAAGAACACTTGAAATACAACTTAATTTTAAAACGTTTGAAGCATGCAGAGTGAACTCAACCATAAATAACAGTATATAGTATATACTCTGAAGACCTCCTCTTCATTTATAGATGATGTGGATGTAGAATAAATGACATTTTCTGTGATCTTTACTTGTTTTTCCTCTATTGATATATTACCATATCCATACATTACCATATTATTGATATAATATCAGCGTATTATTGATATGATATTACAGTATCCACGGACATGCCATTGAGCATTGTCAACAAACTTGTCCACTGCAAGCTTCATGTCAGCCGCCATATAGCATTTCTTCTGTATCTGTAAGCTTACAGGATGGCTTGTAATTCTGTACCATTTTAATTGGGTCAAGAGAATTCACTTTAAAAAAAATATAACCCAGTACTCAATGCAGTGAGTGACAGAGCGCATTTTCTCATCAACAAAAACATTTCATTAAACACCATATTCCAACAGACAGACAGACATGGCGAGCACAGTAGTGCATTTTTTCATAAATGAGAAAATGCACTAAAATATCGCAAAAGACATACCTGAAACAGAAAGGAATATTTTAGTGACAACTATCATATTTTGGAGAAATAAATCATAGTTTAAGTTAATTACTTTCCATTCTATGTTGCCTGGTGCACAATTTATCTACGACATTCTATGCACAATTTTGTGATGAACAAGGATGCATTAATTTTTTGTTAAGTGAAATTTTTTGCTGAGCAAGGTATATGTAATGGAAATTCTTTGTTATCAATTGATTTTTTAGTTAACTGGAGCCTTAGCAAACCGAGGTTCTACTGTAAATGCATTTTTAGGAGTGTCCCTTATTACCCCCCTTCTTGAGGAAATGGCTGCTATTTTTAGGAGATTTTAACTTTAGGTGGCTCACAATATATCATGTAAAGTTTTCACTCAATTATCATCTTGAAGTCTGGGAGTTTTATCTGCAGTTAATGCGCTGTAGTAACCTCACGGTCCTCACCCACGGCACGGATTGCATAATGAGAACAACTAGTAACCATCATTTGATTTGAGTCTGATGCAACACGATTGAATATGCATGCATGTATAACATTTACAAAGGTTAATAATTCATTCTATTGAATGTCAGAGTTGTCAGTTACTGAAAAATTGTAATATAGAAGAATTTGTATCTTTCATTTTTCACATGATTATATTGATGTCCTGTTGGTTGGTATCCCAGCTACCTTGTTCTTTGTTATTATTTACATCTGGTTGGTATTCATGATTGCAAAAGGAAGGAGTTTCCATGTCTCAGCTGAGTGCAGTAGCGATCATTTTTGTATTTGTGAATTGAATAATAGGCAGTTTTTCATGTATTTGAGTGAATGTACATTGTGAAGATGTTATTCTTTGAAATTTCCATCGATAGTGACATAACTACATTATTGTATTATGCACTTGAAATAAGACGTGAACTAACATTAAAGTGTGTTGTACTTCATTGAGGCGGTCTCATTATTTAATTGCCTCTCAGTTTCTTAATGATATCCCTTCAATTTCTTTTTCGATTGCTGTCCCTTCCATTAAAAATTTCAAGATCTTTGTTTGCAATTATTTTGTCATGGCAAGAATTGCTGGAGTTTGTAATTAAAGTAGCATTAAATAATTTGAATTATCATCAGTGCGTTAATATTGTCTGCATTTGGGGGTGGTCCATTCTAGCTTTCTAACGACGATTGGATTCTTGTGAATGAAATAGCTCACGTAATTGCGTTCAAGAGTTGATTTGATACTTGTTACGGTGATATTGTGAAGTGCTGGTTTTTTCCAATGAAATAGCTGTGGCAGCTAGCAGAGACTCATCAGTGATGATGGACTGAAAGAGGAGGTATGCTGGCCTTGCCAGATTTGGAGGTCCTGGTTTCTGATTTGCTATGTTTATCAGTTAATATTTTACCCATCTGGAATTCCACACTGAGCTCAGTCAGCCTCAGTGTATCAATTGTCACTGTGGTGGAAGGTATAATGTAGTACACTTTTTGATCCATTTTCTTGTGTAAATGTGAGAATATATCAACTATTTAAATTCCACACTGCAGGCTGTTAGGCAATATTATAGTACTATAATAGTAGTAATTTTCAGATACATTTTTGCAAATAAGTATGATATTAATGAATCCAAGTTACCAATATCTGAATATTTGTGGAGCTTGCCACTTGCCAGCAATTCAATGAATTCAATTAGGGTGAACACACCATATTCCAACACCTTTAGGACGTTGCAAGAAATAAATGGCTATAAATAGATCACCGTATGCGCAACTTGAGTTCTGATTGGTTTACATCACTCTCAAAACACCACACTATGTGCCAGCAATAATGAAATGTCACTAACTGTTGCCATATTTATTTAAAAGCCTTTAGAATTCAAATCTACAAAATTGCTGAATTCCAACACTGTGTGACGAAATGAGGCATCTTGTGAGACTAATTCTGACAGCGCTTCAAAATCGTAATTGGTAATTCCGACACCCTGTGTGAGCTGTGTCAGAATACGACACCCTGTGTGTGCTGTGTCAGAATACGACATCCTGTGTCATGGCTGTGTGTCATAATTCCGACACAATATTGGAATTAGTTTTTATGTGTCTAAAACCGTCTCTTGAATCAATCATCTATTAATTTATTTATTACTTAAAATCAGCAAGTATAAGTAGGGTAAACACACCATATTCCAACACTGTGGGTAATTCCAACACTTCTCAACTTTTTCCTTTACATTAAGCTTTGTCTTGGTTCCACGCATGCATAAATGGAAATAGTGACGTCATACTATTGGGTGCAATATTTCTGCAAAACACTAGCTCTGGCGGGAAAATGTGAAGATCCACAAAGCAAAAGTCCACATCACCCAGTGAGAACATCAAAAAACGTGTTAAAGTTGATAGTTGACCTTGCTCTGCCAAATATTGATAAACTGTTTGTGTAGAAAGAATATTATGGTTTGAGACTTTTAAATAAGTCTGTGAATATATTAGGAATCCTTTAAGTATACTTGTATTTGCTGATTTTAAGTGGTAAATAAATTAATAGATGATTAAGTTAAGAGACAGTTTTAGACACATAAAAACTAATTCCGACACAGCTTGGAATTAGACACACACAGCTCATTCCAAGCTGTGCTGTATTCCAAAACAGCTCACACAGGGTGTCAGAATTACAACACAGGGTGTTAGAATTACAAATTACGATTTTGAAGCGCTGAAAAAATTAGTCTCACAATACCGGTATGCCGCATTTAGTCACACACATTTTGGAATTCAGCAATTTTGTAGATTTGAATTCTAAAGGTTTTTAAATAAATATGGCAGCTATTTGTGATGTTTCATCATTGCTGGCCCGTAGTGTGGTGTTTTGAGAGTGACATAAATCAATCAGAACTAGAGTTGCACATACGGTGATCTACTTGTAGCTATTTATTTCTTGCTACGTCCTTAAGGTGTCGGAAGACGGAATATGGTGCGTTTACCCTATACTTAAAGGATTCCTAATATATTCACGGACTTATTTGTAAGTCTCAAACCATAATATTCTTTCTACACAAACTGTTCATCACTATTTAGTAAAGCAAGGTCAACTATCTACTTTCATATGTGTTTTGATGTTCTCACTAGTTGACTTGGACTTTCGCTCTGCGGATCTTAACATT